TTTAAATTCTCTATTAATTTGTCTATTAATTCTTGTCAAGAAGACAAGAACTTGTTTCCCCTTTTCTACACCACAAATCAAATAAATTTGTCAGTGCAATATTCTATGTTTTATGTCCATGAATTGGTATAGTGTAAAAAGGGAATATTAGCAGTAGAGATACCATGGTTTCAAAATCTTGGTTAAACATTTGTAGTGTGTAATTTTATTTTCTTACCCCATTTGATCTTATATCTCTTTTTCCATTAAATAGCACCATCTCTATTTTTTTAAAATTAAAGAGCACGGGTATATTATGTTTTTAGAAAGCATGGTATATAATAGGAATTAAATAAAAGGTAGCTTTTGCTATTATTTTTTTCTTGTGTTATAGCTGTTCTGTTTTTCAATATTTTAATTATTATGTATGTGTGTTTGAGTGCGTATGTGTGTGTGCGTGTGTGTGTGTGTGTGTGTGTGTGTAGATTATTTGCAGCTGTAGCAAGTGGAAATATTTTTTGATATATGTTCATATCCATTATTTGAAGTAGATAGTAGGCCATTTTGGTATCCTTTTCTTCAGCATGATTGTTGAAAAGAGAACTCAAAGCTGCTTGAAATCAACTGCCTTTTCATTTTTCAAAAAAAAAGAAGTCTTAGCTTTTTGAAGTGATGAAGTGATGTTTCTGAGAATTGTGGAGTGATTTTTTAAACAGGAAATACCTCTGAGCTAACAGGAAGAACAAAGGGTGTGCACATCCTGACAATATAAGAAATGATCATCTTCACATACCGGCTGTAATGAGAGCCCTTTGCATGACAAAGCTGGTAAGATATTAGAGCATAAGATTTTATGGCGCCCATAGGAATGCTACATCCTGGGTACTGATGACCCCAGCTTCAACCAAGATGCATGAACTTCAAATGAGATAAAGGAACGATGTGGCTTCTGTTGTAAATGTGGCACAGAAATAGCAGAGCTAGAACTAAAAAGATAATTCAGATTGGAGCCTTGTCTTCTCAGAAGTAATCAGTGAAAACATGACTAAAAGTCATCTTGAAGCTTTGACGTTTGGGAAACTGGGAAACTTGGGAAAAACCTGGGAAACTTCATATAACCTTGGAAGAAAACTCTTAATGCCACCAAATGACAAAAGGTAAATAACCTGTTCACTCAGGAAGATGGGACCTTGGAGTGGTATTTCATTTAATTTAAAGAGCTAATGAATTGAACATTTCTTGCACTGCTTAAAACATGAGTACAAATTTATCCCTGCTATATGTTCATTCTCTATTTACTGAGTCCTAAAGTCTCGTTTTCTACACTCCGTATAAGTTGCTTTTATTTCCCTTCTTTTTATTCTTTCCCTTCTTTCTATTCTTTTACTCAATCTTCAGTACCTATCTAGAAGGCTATAACTATTTATACGAATTATCTAAAACATAAAAAAATGAGTGGCATTGGTAGAACAGCGATGAACATAGCTGCCTTCCAAAAACCAAAAAAATGGTGGTTCCCTATTATGAAACTGATATTTAAAGGTGAATTCCAAAGTTGCTGAGCCTTCCAGATTAACATGTTTGAAGAAGCTACACGAAAAATGAAACTCCCCAGGGAAATTCAATAATGATCTATTTAATTAACAACGTAACTAAAATAGCTCTCTATTGAAACCTAGTTAATCTAAACAGCTAAGGACTACAACTATTTTCCCCCTAGAGAAGCTTCCTTGACTGAACTAACCATTCTATATCTTTCTGATTCTAATCTCTAAGGAGAGATAAGGGGAAAGATTCAGGGTGATCAACGAATTTAAAATGAAGCAAAATATTCTTTTTCCTATCTCATAGCTTTAGAA